TAGGCTACGTCTACACTGGCCCCTTTTCCGGAAGGGGCATGTAAATTTCACTAGTCGTCGTAGGGAAATCTGCGGGGGATTTAAATATCCCCCGCGGCATTTAAATAAAAATGTCCGCCGCTTTTTTCCGGCTTTTAAAAAAGCCGGAAAAGAGCGTCTAGACTGGCCCCGATCCTCCGGAAAAAGTGCCCTTTTCCGGAGGCTCTTATTCCTACTTCAAAGGAAGTAGGAATAAGAGCCTCCGGAAAAGGGCACTTTTTCCGGAGGATCGGGGCCAGTCTAGACGCTCTTTTCCGGCTTTTTTAAAAGCCGGAAAAAAGCAGCGGACATTTTTATTTAAATGCCGCGGGGGATATTTAAATCCCCCGCGGATTTCCCTAGGACGACTAGTGAAATTTACATGCCCCTTCCGGAAAAGGGGCCAGTGTAGACGTAGCCCTAGTGATCTGTAATGACATTTCCAAAATGCTTTTGGTGGCTCATTGACTTGGCCATGACATGAGCGAAGGCGGGCCCAGAAAGGCCTTACTAGCGGAATGGACAGACACCGGCATGGAACAAGCAGTAAAGAAAACCGACACGGCACTCTTGGGTCAGGGCAGAACCCAGCGCCCCGTCCAAGGGGCGATTGGCAGTGCTTAATGCCATCACAGCAGCCCAGGCTGCCGGCTGCAATCGGTAGCTGTCACTCCACTGACGGCTGTGGGGCAACACAATTTGACACCAGCTGAGCATCTGGCCCAGCATGGATGAATGATGGTGCATGAGCGGGGTGGGGGTTGTTCTGCTGCAAGCTGCGTTCTGTTCAAGCGATGTGTAACCCACACACCTAGTCCCAGATAGTGGCACTTAGACCACTTACAGTCAGTGATATGAACAAGGGAGCACTGCAGCCTAAGGTGAGAACCAGCTGGCTTTATAGCTCAAGCTGGAGAGGCTCCTATGCTAAAGTTCTAAGTTCAAATCCACCCCAAGGTAGTTACACATGGTCCCTCCTAGGGACTGCATGTTTCAGTGGTGCACTAGAGATTTAAGTTACAAATGGCTGCAGAAATGCACATTATGGGTGTGTCTAGACTGCCAGGTTTCTTCGGAAAAATGGCTTTTTTTCGAAAAAACATCCCCGCTGTCTAGACTGCTGCCACATTCTTCTGAAATTAAATCGAAAGAACGCAGTGGTTTTTTTCGACCGCGGCAAACCTCATTTTACGAGGAAGAACGCCTTTTTTTCGAAAGTGCTCTTGAATGCAAACAGGGCTTTTTCGAAAGAGAGCCTCCAGACTGGGTGCTCGCTTTCGAAAAAGCAGCTCGCTTTTTCAAAAGAAGTGGTTGCAGTCTAGACGCTGTCTTTCAAAAGAGGCTTGTAGTCTAGACGTAACCTATGATTCCTCACACTCTGCTGCAGATCGATTAACAAAGGGCAAGTCCCCTCACACCATTCGCTTCAGGGGTGAGCCAGTGCCTAGGCATGAAAAAGCCCCTGGCTGCAGGAAGAGGGGAAGCCGGGAGAACGAGCGTCAGACTGAACCTGACATTGCTAAAAGAGTCGTGAGGGCGGGACTCACCCCTGCGGCGCCTCCTGCTGGTAGCTCTGGGAAATTAGTTCTTTCATCTGCAGGGTGCTTCCTCCCGGCTGGCGTCTCGTCCGCATTGCTCCCCAACCATGGCGCCCTCTTCAGGACACTGCCCTCTGGCAGGGCCCACTGCAATGCTCTCCACCCCCTTGCGGGGGTTCATCAGCAGTTCTGTGTCTCTGCTGGGACTGACTTTAGCCTCCAAACCCAGCCCCTCTGTCTCAGGAGCCGGCCATAGTCTGGACTGGCCACGCCTTGGTGGCAAGACACGGTGCAAGGGGGCAGGGGGAGACCCAGGCCTGCTCGCTACTCTGGGTCCTAGCCCAGGGATCCTCTTGCGGCAACCTAGTCCTGCCCTCCTCTGCTCCCCTTCACTGTCTGTTCCCTGGACCACTTCCCCTGCAACCCTTTGCACCTTCCTGGCCCTTGTAGAAAGGCCGCAGCTGGAGCCTCCCTCTAAAACTCCACTGAGTCTGCCCAGCACTGCTCTATCACAGGTACATCTCCCCTCTCGGGAGCCAGTCCTTGCCCCTGACTGGCCACCATCCAACTCCTCCCTGCTGTGCTGAGCAGCTCCTTATAAACAGGGCCACCCCAACAAGCTGCCTTTTGATTGGCTCCTTCTAAGCCCCTCTCTGATTGGCCAGGGCTCTGCGCAGGCTCCCTCCTGCCTGCTTTAACCTCAGAAGTCACCCCACCAGAGAGCCAAATACATGTGTTAGTTTTCAAAGTGCCCCAGGGCTCCATGTGGTTTTTTGCACACATCTCTGCTGTTGCCTCACACACTGCTTCTTGGCTTCCTTTGGCTAGCAACCTCCCGGGCGGTGGGTCCTGCCGAAGAACAGAATTGGAGAGGGGCCCAAGCTTCGAAGTTTGGATTCAGATCTGAGCTCTTCCAAGCTCTGGGGACGTGCAGACCTGGGGGCTTGATTTGGGGCATTATCCAGACGTTGCTTATGGGAGGCTTCTGTGTGTGTGTGTGTGTGTGTGTGTGTGTGTGTGTGTGTGTGTGTGTGTGTGTGTGTGTTCAGGGGGGGGGGTTTTCTCCACAATGAGCTGGAGCCATGAAGGCATCGAGGACTCTGGCCTGTTAAAACAATGGCTAGAGGGAAGGAATGCAAACATCCAGCCAGCGTGGTCTGTCTCCACTGGGCTAGATGCAGCCATCAGGCTGGCAAAGAGCTGCCCACTCCATGCAGTTTTGCAGCTGTTAAAGCAACTATGTCTTAATGCCTATGTGAAGAAAAGACCCTCACACACACCCCCCACATGACCAGGAACCTCTGTTTTGCTGTTTGCTTTCTTTGGTGAACGGGTGCATGGCTTGGGGGACTGGTCATCTATTCAACTCTGGCCATGGATACTTAGAAGATGAGGCTTGAATGGACCATGGCCAGTGAGCCATTTGTTGACCTAGACTAGAGATGTCTCCTCCCTCCCCAGCTCCAGATTAGGGCGCATCGGTGAGAGATCCGCTCCCCAAACTGAACCTTTTCTGCAGCTAGGATTTGAGGACATTGTCAGACGTGCCCAAGAAACACAGGTTCCTTGTGTTCCTAGCATTGTGCCCAGCATTCAATGCGCGAAGACCATGCAGGGAACACCCCCAAATAAACATTGTGGAAGAAGCAAAGAATCTTCTCACTACCTGGGATGGCAGAGGAATAAATCATAGAATCCTAGAACACTAGAACTCGAAGGGACCTTGAGAGGTCATCAAGTCCCATCCCCTGCCCTCATGGCAGGACCAAGCACTGTCTAGATCATCCCTGACAGGTGTCTATCCAACCTGCTCTGAAATGTCTCCAGCGATGGCGATTCCACACCCCTCCCTTGACAATGGATTAGAATTAGCACAACTTGCAAATCTAGCAGCCGGGAGAAAGAAGGGATTGCGAGCAGCAAAAAATGACTAGCATTTTCGCTCTGTGAGCTAATCTCCCCTACTACCTTTCCCCTGTTGGCTCCAGGGCACATGGGAGAGGGGCCGTGTGTGCTTTCCTTCTTATTAATTGCAGGAAGTGATCCCGTGGTACTATGCCAGGTACTTGGAAGCTCAAAGCTGGAAAGTGAGTCAGATCTTTCTTCCTTTTTCCCCTGGTCTCCTTCTTTCCAGAATGTTTCTGGGGACGAGATCGGGATTCGGCCTATATAAGGCTGTTTCCTTTCACAGTCGTTTATCCAGGCACACGGGATGCTTCCCATTTCATTTTGTTTGTTTGTTTCAACTGGCGATTCAGGCAACATGCTGGACACACCACTGGTGGCCCTCAGCCAGCTCTCCCGGTTCGCCTATGATGTCATTTTCCATGTGTTCCCCCCTCCCCCTTTTAGCCTACTCTGTATGGAAACACCGTGGAGTTCCTTTCTGTAATTTAATGGGAACAAACACTCAGTTCATTTCGAAGCACTTCACATAAAACTGAGGCAGGGCTTAGTCCTGTTAACACGAACGTGGGTCTGGTTTAGGAGAAGCTCGAAAATTAACATCATTTGTTAACTAACCATCTCCCCCTGCGTGGCCACTCTCAGCCTACAGCAGCCATTCCCTTTCTTTGATTCACGTTTTTAATAGCTTTTTGGGGGCTAAATCAATCTGGTTGACATCACCATCGTTCAATGGACAGATGCCACTAGCAATTTATGCAACAGATTGGCATTTTTCTTTATAAATATTCTGGTGCCTAAGCCACATTTACCAGAACTAATTAAAGTGAGACGCATAAAATAGGAAAGAGGTTCAGACTTGTTCTGGGGCCCTGCAATGAGCAGAACAATGGGTAGAAATGAGTAGTCCTCTGGCACCTTAGAGACTAACAAATGTTTTAGATCATGAGTTTTTTTCCACAAAACCCACTTCATTAGATGAGTTGGGAGTGGAAAATACAGAATCCAAGGTATATATATAACAGCAAATATAGTTACCTGTCAATTGTAGGATCAGAGTTAATGAAGCTAATTAAATAGGCTGGATGTGTCCCATTCATAGCTACTGATGTGAAAATGCGAAGATCAAAGGTTGGGGAACTGGCTTTGTAGTGCGTTAACCAGATCATATCTTTATTCAAGCCCAGGTTAACAGCATCAAACTTGTAACGGAATATAAATGGGTGGGAAGTAAACAACGAAAAAGAACATGTAAGCTGAGTCTCTACAAGGAAGTTAATGGGTGCAAAGGATGTTAGTGGAAGCTCTGTTGCTTGGAATGTTTTATTACTGAACAAAGTGCTAGAAAACGTGTTACATGGAACAAGCCTGCAATGGCTAGGCTAGAAGTCTTTCTTATTTGCCACTTATATGAGCCCCATCCTTGCACTTGTTGACTCGAATAAGGATGGGGGGGGGGAAAGCTTGCGGGAACCAGGCCATATAGGATCAGGTACAGCCATGCCAGCAAAATAATAACCAGGCCGAGGCACACAAAAGTCAAGAGAAGGATATCACATGTTTTATTAAATGTCATTTATCTGAGAACAGATGCTTTCCCACAGAACATATTTTTCACACTTACAAAATGAGAAATTTAAGAGCGGGTGAGACAGCCATGAGGACTTTGTCAGCTGACATCCTCGGAGCACTGGCCACTTTTCATACATCTTCCTTTGGAGAGCTTTCATAAGGCACCCCAGTGCTGGCGGGTGATACAATTGCTAGGCTGTCAGGACATTCACCAAGTGATCCAACAATCTGGAAATGGTTGGGACAACATGTATTTGCGGAAAATATGTGTTCACACAACATGGGAATAATTACAAGAAGATGTGTTAATAATTAACCGGTATGCAAACCAGAGGACAGTTTGCTCTCCATCCAGATACTAGTCCTGTTTTGTGGGCAAGGGGAGGAGAAGGATTGGGAGCATACAAAATTTGAATCAATTATCCAACAATATTTATGCTGTAGTTCCCTTTTCGCAAAATATTTCTTCTTTTAAAATCCAGCTTTGCTACATAAATGCTTTAGCTCTCATGGATATCCTTTGCTTTATTTTAAAAAAAGTGATAATAAAAAAAACCCAAACACATTAAATATAATTTTATATATATAAAAATGCTTAGTAAAAATATAGCCTCGTTGCCCAATTAAAATATATTGCTGAAAATACGGTGCTAAAAAAACGGTGAAAACGGTGCTAAAAAAAACAGCTCTAACAGGCACCCGGTCTTAAAACAACCTCTTCAAAATAGCCCCAAGGTTTCCCACGCAATTTAGTTTGCCCTTTGCTTAAAAAAAAAAAGTCGATTTGAGCAGGTCCCAGTGGCAGTCGTTTTAGACACGAATCACTGTGGTTTGTCTAAATACATGGTCGAACCGCCTGACCTAAGAAGGTACAGCTCTACGCAGCTAAAAACCATGTGTAAAAAGCTTTGCCGTACTTTCCAGGCGGCACAGAGTTAAGATATGGAGTGCCGGAGGCTGATTTCTCCTCTACATTAACCCTCTGCTTTGGAAAATGCATCTATTTGTGTTATATAGTTATACGAGTATATCAGTGATTTCAGCAGGTTTTTAAAAGAAGCGATGCATTTAATGAGATACTCTAACTATTATGGAGCTCAGTGGTTAAAGGCAGATGGCTTTTCTCTTTTTAAAAAGGAGACTGCACTGAAGGGTCATAGGTTCTCCAGGGCAAACACATGGTACAACGGGGCAGACCTAGCCTGTGATGCAAGAGCTATAGTAGACAGCACTGCTGGCATCGGACAAGGCAGATATCAAGCTGCTCTCCTCACAGGAGATACTTCTCGGAGTCACTTTGGACAGGGAGACATGGTAAGGGAGTCCTGAGGCATCAGGACGAGTCCTGCTCATGTTCAAGTACTGGTCAAACTCATTGCGGTCCACGTCTGTCCAAAGCTCCGTTGGATTCAAGTGCTCTACGCCGTCAATGTGATGGGCTTCAGGAGGGGGTGACAGCTGGCCCAGATGGGCGGAGAGGACGTTCTGCGGTCCAGAGCACATTTGGTTGTAGTACATGCTAGACGGATGGGGAGTCCTCATAGCATCGGCCAAATGTGATGGGGTCTGAGCATAGGGCAGGCCCACGTCCCGCCCCAGTGACTTCTCTTGGGGAAACTCCATCTGGTGAGAGGGGTGATAGCTTCGAAAGGCCATCATGCTGCAATCCTCCTGCATGTGAGGGGGGAAAAACGCTGGCTCGGTCTGCTCCAAGACATCCAAGGGAGACATCTCGGGAGTTGGCAAGCCATAGTTTTCAATATCCGACCCCATGGCGTGGAGTTCTCTGAAGTGGTTAAGTGGGGGAGGCTGGGGGTGGGCAGGCTGGCTGCCACGGTGATGATTCATGCTGAAGCTGTCGCTGCTGCACGGCTGGGAAAGGTTGTGGAGAAGGATATTGGGTTCCATCCTCTTGATTTTCTTGGCTTGCTTCTTCCGCCTGGGGCGGTACTTGTAGTTGGGGTGATCCTGCAGATGCTGGATGCGCAGCCGCTCTGCCTCCTCCACGAAGGGGCGCTTGTCGCTGGCGCTCAGCGCTTTCCACGACTGGCCTGGTGGGGGGAAAAACACACCCCGTTAGACGGGCACAGCCCTGCACCCGTTGCCGCGTTAACATGCAGGAGAGGGCAGTGCTGACCGGGGGAGGGGTCCCATCCAGACAACAGTCCGTACAGACTTCTGGTCTGAGCCTCCCCGGGGAGAGGGCTGAAAAGTGATACCAAGTCCTTCCCCCCTCCCAGGAAAACCAGGAATCTAGCTCTCCAGCCCTGCCATGAAGCAGAGATAATCGCTGCTGTCCCTTGCTAGAAGCCCCCTTCTGCTGAGAATTCCAGCACGTCCAGGTACAGGCTCACCCTGCCAGGGGCTGCGCTGACCCCGGTAGGGAAACCAAACCCCGGACCAGACAGGAAAGCAAATGCGCACACGGCCCTTCACCAGGCAGGAGAGGAGGTGGAGGGCTCCCTCCTGGAGTGTTAGCAACAGCAACCGTTCCCACTAGCTTCCTACCTAGCCACCCATGGGACCGGCTGCATGGCTTAGGGCCAGGCTGCAATGTCCTTACTCCAGCTCCTGCCCGGGCTGCTACTTGCCCCACATCCAATGAAGGGTGCCTTTTTCCATACCAGCGGGTGCAGCCTATCATGTCCTGGGTGCCATGGGGTGCAGCGGATATCAGGGGACTGCCCCCGTCCCAGCTGCCAGGGGGCGCAGTGAGTACCAGGGGGCACAACCTGCCCTTGTCTTGGGGGCGCAGCAGGTACCAGGGGGCACAGCCTGCCCCCATCCTGGGTGCCCAGGGGGGCAGCGGGTGCCAGGGGGCTGCCCCCATCCCAGATGCCAGGGAGCACAGCAAGTACCAGGGGGCACAGCAGGTACCAGGGGGCACAGCCTACCCCTGTCCCAGGTGCCAGGGGGCTCAACGGCTGCCAGGGAGCACAGCCTAGCCCTGTCCCAGGTACCAGGGGGCACAGCAGGTGCCAAGGGGGCACAGCCTAGCCCTGTCCCGACTGCCAGGGGGCGCAGCGGGTGCCGGGGGGCTGCCCCCGT